GAAAGTATACCAGAAAAAATATTACAAGATGCTGTGAAATACACAAAGGTTAAAGCACAAGTAAAATATTCTATGTGCACCAATACCCATACTCAAAAGTATAATTATTATGACACCTGACAGGCTGAACTGAAAGTATTCACAGGTCTGCTGTACCGAGCAGGTATTTCTCATTGTAATCTCAAGAATGTAAAAGACTTATGGAAAAGTTATGGGTCAAAATATAGAACAAAAATTAACGCCCCTGTAGATGTGAAGATTTATTATGTTTTCAATTAAGACAATTATCTTGGAACTCAACCATCAGGTCTTTATTTGGATAGTAATGAACCAAATATGTTGTGCCCAGAATTGTTGCTCCCATCTCCCAAACTAATCAGAATGTGACATTTGACAGTTGGTTTACTGGCTTCCAATTGCTGTTACATTTGCTAACAGAACATAAGTTGACCAGTGCAGGAACTGTACGCAGGAACAAAGCAGAAATTCCAAATGAAATGCTGCAATTTCAAGGCAGAGAATTGTGTAGTACAATCTTTGGATTTCAGAAAGATATAACACTGGCCTAATACATGGCAAAGAAAAACAAACTGGTACTTCTGATGTCAACATTTCACCATGATGGAAAAATATTTATAAGGGAACCTCAACAAAATGGCAGCCTGAGATGGAAACCTTCTACAACAAAACCAAAGTTGGGGTACATGTTGTTGAGTTATGCAGCAACTATGATATCACTTGAAACATGAAACATTGGCCAGTGGTTATATTTTACTCAATCCTAAACATGTGTGGCATAATTTGATAGTGTACAAAGAAAATAATGAGTGAAAAATATCATACAGAAATTTTCTTACAGGATTGGGGCTGTAGCTTAAAAGAGATGGTGTACACCACAGGAAGAACAAAATGTTTCTGCCCAGGGAAATACACAAAATATTGTGGAGCACACTGGTGCTGACAGGTGAATAGGCAGGCGCAGGATCATAAAGAACTGCTGTGACAACAGGGAAACAAAAATGATGTACACTGTGCCCTACAAGAAAGGACAGGAAAAGAAAACACATGTGCTATCAGTTTAAGCAATACTTTTGTATGGAACACCCAGTTGTCATGTGTGAAGACTGCCATGAGTGTGGCAGTGATAGTAAAGATTATTTCTGTGGTAGACTTTCATCTGTATTTACATTGTAGTTCACATAGGTTTTTATTTTTGATGTTATCTTTTAAGTTTTGTATGCAGGTAAACAGCTGATGTGAAAATGTTGGTGTTTGTTCTAAGCACTCATTACATATTTGATATTTTATTTTATTGACATCTTATTTCCCTAAGTACACATTGTACAATATGGTAGGCAGCTCCTGACAAAACAGAAAGAATAGAGAGGTGACAAGACTGCCACATAGGAAAGGAAAGCTAAGCACACATGCAGTCAGTGTGAGACTTATGTATGGAGCATACAGTTGTCATGTGTGAAGACTGCCTTGGGTTTGGTAGTTGAAGCAAAGCTTAATTTTGTGGTAGAGTTTTATCGGTATGTTCATTGTAATTCATATAGGAATTCACTTTTGATGTTATCTTTTAGGTTTTGTAAGCAATGATACAGCTGATGTTAAAATGTTGATGTGTATTAAGGACATATTAAGGACTTAATAATTCATTGTATTGATATTTTATGTTCCTGCCATTTAAATACTGTATAATATAATAAGAATCTCCTGACAAAATCACAAGATCACTGAGACGTCCAGCATGTCTCACAGAAAGGCCAGGAAAACAAAAGACGTGTGCTGTCAGTGTAAATGATGCATGTGTAGGGAATGTGCTGCTGTCCTGTGTACAGATGACACACATGAAAGGTGTGATAATTGAATTAAAGATTTTTTTAATAGAGTGATATTGGTATTTTCATTGTAGTTCATATAGGAATTTATTTCTGATGTTCTCTTTTAGACTTAGTACATCAAAAACCAGTCAATTTTGAAAATTTTGATGCTTTTTATAAACAATGAATATTAAAAATTCAATACTTTATTTTTGTGATTTTTTCCTATTAAGTACTCATTGTTTAATATGATAAAACTCATATAAGACTAAAATTAGTAATTTATCAATAGAAATACTGTAAAGAATAAAAATGTGCCTGACAGACCCATTTCTCTGCCCCTTTGTGACAAAATGCTCCTTAAAGTCTACATCACATCCTCCTGCCCCCACTTTCTAGGGAAAGGGATGGGTCATTTAGATCTCTGTAAACCTGCAGCACTTAGCATCATGTTTGCTTAGAGTGTGTTTGGTCAATTTTTGTTTCATAAGATTGAATATCCAGTTTTTAATAAATGAATTTCTCCAAAAAGTCAAATCCATTTTCAGATACCAATAAAGTGGTGTCTATTTCTGCCTGCAAATGTCTAAAACAGTTTGATCTCTCCTGAATTAATGTCAAGTTTTAAAAACAAATGGCCCTGGAAGACTAAATACATATTGTTTCCAGGGCGTGCTTTTTCTTAGAATCCCTCTTCATTTAACTTCTCTCAGTCCGACAGGCAAAAGCTCATTGATCTTGATTTAAAAGCCAAAGGAGCTTAAAGCCACTGTAGGAGTCTGTTCAGTTTTAAACACAATTTAGAAAACCCAGGAAAGAATGACAGTTTCCTCTCAGGAGCTTTCTGTACATATTTCAAAAGAACAGCTTTCCAAATTGGACATTATAAAATATTATACCACCAACCAAGTAATAAAAGTCACTCACTGTCGTGAAGAGATCCCCTTGATTTTGACAAAAAGCGCAAAAGCCTAAATTGTCTTTTTTAAGTCTGAGACTGACAGAAACATAATAAGGGAAAAATACTCAATTTCTCTAAAAGATTATTATTTAGAAATAAATTATTATGCAAAAGAGGCATGGAGCTGTTGACAACTTGTGAATTTCAAGCAGTGGAAATATCTCCCTCAGTAATCAACTGCTGATAAAACCTGTTAATCCATCTAAATTTGGGAAACACAGAGAGCTGTGAAATCAACATGTTCCTGGTTCAGGCATTTAGGGAAGAACTTACCAGATCATCTCAGGAAATGCTTCACTTCCTGTGCCAATCTGGGAAGGAAACGTAAACCAGGCAGAGGCAGGTGTGACAGAGTCACCCAGCAGATGGGAAATTCACTTCCCGCTCCTGCAGGCACCCTCCAATGGCCACTTCATGCTCCTGAGCTGTAACTTCCTTTTCTAACATGAACGCAGAAGTTTGTATTTTTCTTAGCATTACTTTTCACTGATACTGGCCTTAAGTTAACCAGTGGGCTTGTTGGCAGAAGTTGAAGGAGATAGTTATGTAACTGTCTTCCCTGCTCAATGGAAAACTCTTCCAGGGGCTGACAGTTCATTAGAAAGGCAGCGCTTCTGAAAGATGGGGTCCTTAGCAAGGCGCCCAGGAGTGCTCATAATGGAAACCACCTGCCAGGCCTCTGTGATGTCCTCAGCCTCAAGACTCCTTCTAGCCAGGGCCCAGGGCTGTCTCTGCCCCTGCCCCACTCTGCTATGTGAAGGAGCTGCACTGCAGAGGGATTCGCCATGGCTGTCGGGAGCCTGCTGCTGTCTGGAGCCCAACAACCAGAGTGGCCACGCTCTACCTCAGGCTCTCAGAACCTAGAGGAACCCAGTATCACTCATGAGTGGGTTTTGCATGGTGCGGGTTCTTACCAACCTTCACCATGCATACTGAGCAGATACTTATAAGCTAGCACATTGATTTCCTCAATACCTCATAGATATTCTTTATTTTAAAAGTCACATTCTTTGTCTGGCCTCAAAACCTGGTGCACCTCAACCCTGGGGACTCCAAGTTGTGTGGAAACCAAGGGTAGCTGATGTAGAAGTGTTGTGGGATGTGTCCTAAATTTATGGAGATACTGTGAAAAATTATAGATAAAGAGTAGCTCAAGGAGGAGTGTGCCAATTTTTTCCTACAATGTCACTGTAAATTAGAATTTTTTAGGAAGAAAACTTTTGAAAAGAGCATAAGCAAAATAAAATTAGAACTGAGTTTTTTTTATTTTCCCCCAGGGCTTCTCAGAATAAAATATCAATCTTTCCCACGGTGTTCTTTTATGATAGTTTGTACTTTGGTTTTCACACTTCTTAAATCTGTCTTATATTAGAATCACTTGTTTATTTTCCCACCGTGGGCAAAGGATAACATCTTACTCATTCTTTTATTCCTTGCACTGCCACAGAGTGGGAGCCTAACAAATATTGATTACATTTAATTTTTCATTTTGACTTCCTCGGGAAGGTTTAAAATTCAGATGTGATCATTTCTTGCAGTTGATCATTAATATAGTCAGGGCTTATGTAGGATCACATATATCCTTTACCTGTTTCTTACCCTGGAATCAATAGCAGGGTTTTTATGTCTATGACTTCCTGAAATGTTATCAAAATATGGATGTACACAAAAATGATGTACACATTCAGCTATGAGTGTATTTCTGTAATAAGTCTATAAACTGTAATGAGACGACTTTCTCCGCAGTCAGCCACCCCTCTGGACACTGAGATTCTCCTCCAAGACAGTCTCTCCCAAGCTCCCAGCCTCTCAGAGCGGAGACAGTGGAGACTGATGCAAACAGGCAGAAACAATACACATTTCCAGTTCAGCTCACCAGCCCTACCTGATAATCTCATTATTTTGGGATTTCTGTCTAAACAGAGACATTTTTGAGCGAGAGTACTTTTTCAGCCAACACTCTATCCCCAGATTTCATTTTCTAAAAAGGTCCCTGTTGTTTCCTGTACCTCCGTGATTCCACGGGACCCTTCAAGGCTGTTGCTAGTACAGTTGAAGGGTCTCTCTGTGGAGCTATCCCCGCGTACTCCTGCGTGCTGCCCACACACTTAATCCTGCAGATTTCAGGGAAAGCTCCCTGAAGGTAAGCTAAGGCCAAGAGCTCGCGCACAGTTGCTTGTCACACTCGCCATAAGTAAAAGAGAACACGGTACCTGTGACACCACGGCAGAGGCTGGAAAGCAGGAGGAGGAGAGTGGTCACTGCTGGCAGCTGTGTCATGGTGCCGGGGTCTCGAGGCTCCTCTACAGATGAGGCCGGGAAGGCTCCCTCCTGCCGAGGGCCCGCAGTAAGTGGAGGAAAGGCGTGTGGAACCCCGCAGCCCCTGCCCACCCCTACTTATTTTGGAGACTCTGATAAAGAACGAGAGGAAACACACGCACTCCCTCAGGGAGTTCAGCAGAGAGATTTATTGTTTCAGTCCCTTACAGGAACTCTTTTTTTTCCTCTCTCCTTTCCCTTGGCAGTCACTTGTGTTTTTGTTACTACATTATTTTGTTCTTCTTCAACAAAAAGGTCAGGATGGGTTTTGAACAGAAACAGAGCCTTCTTCATGGGGGGACCAGGGAGCTTTCTAACTTTTGTTTTGAAAGCACACTTTGGAGTGGTTATAAAGGGACCTCATTAGGCAGCTACTCGATTTAGATAAAAAACAAGACACCGTAGTGTCCCAAGAGTTAAACTTTAAAGTAGAATCCAAACAGAATCAACTTGTCTCCTCTCTCTCCAACCTGAGGACAGACTGGTGCAGACCACCTTCTGAAGATGGGCAGAGCTCATTGCAGAGATCACGCTGCCCAGGGTAAGAGGCTTCCTGAGGGGTGCAGACAGCTCACACTTCCACCTGGGCTGTACCTACTCCCCCTCGAAGACTGCTCAGAGCAGTCACCTGCTGTACACACCCCAGCACAGCTCGCTTCACCCTCAGACACACTAGGCCTCTAAGGAGCTGTGTTTCAGCTCTGTGACAGTCAGAGTTCATCCTGCCCCCTCCTAGTGATTCTCTAAAACAAGGTCCTTCAGGGTTGTGACTGGAGAACACAAGGGGAAAACGTGTGGGGGAAATAACTCAGGGTGTGGCTGTGGGACACCCGCAGACACAGGGACCTCATTCCCGCACCTCATGCCCCTGCTCTACACATGCCCCTTCAGCACATAGGGTCATGGAGGACACCGGCCACAGCCATTCCTAAGGGATTTGACTCCTTTGGGTCTCTGGACCCTGACTGTTATGCCCTTGCATGAAGTGTCCTGGATCCTAGTCCAGGAAGGCTTCATCCTAAGCTTTTAGGCAAAAGGAAAGGGAATCAGGGGGAGGAAGGGAAAAGAAGAAATGAGAAAAGAAGGATAAAATGGAAACAAAGCTTTGTAACTAAGGAGGGGGAGAGGGGTTGAAGGGAGAGAAGTGGGGAAGGGAGGGGAATGGGAAAAAAAGAGGCACCAAGATGTTTCATACACAGTATAAATTCCCTAAGATGAATGTGATCAATATGTATTTCTAAATTATACCAATAAACTTAATAAAATAAAAGACAGGGGAGCTGTAGATAGAAAGGAAAAAGAGTAACAGAAGACACTAACATGAAGCAAATCCATATTAAAGTAGTTAAGGAAACAGAAAAGGAAAATGGGCATGAAAGACTACTTAGGTTTGCCTTATTAGATTAGACAGTATCTCTGAGGCAAAACACACAATTAAAGTGATGATAGTGTCCAGAAAAGAGAAATTAATAGCATAAAAATTGTAGACATGAAATATATATTATATATTTATATAGAAACTGAGACTGAGATATAAAAATACATATATTTTATATATATATGTAAAATAATTCCACATATGTGTATGTTTGTGTGTAGAGATTAGGTGTATGGGAATGTAATAAACAGTTAATATGATGGATAGAGTGCATATTTAATAATTTATTTTTGACATTTACCTTGTAAGTTAAGTCTCTATTTTAACTCAACTACAAAAATAAATTTCTTATATGCTAATTATTTACATTTGAAAGACAAAATGATAAAATCATAAAGTTCTAGGCAACAGTGCCGGTGGCTGCACATAAGTGAGGTAAAGAGAATATTTTAAGCTTGGCCTCAAAGGTGGAGCACATGTCAGAAAGACAATGCGCTGTTTGCATAAAAATTTAAAAGTATGACTCCAACATACCAAAGGAGGAAAAATTAAAACTATAAAACTTTTTGTAACATATATGTTATTTTATCCTAGAAACACCTTGTGGACTCAAAAAACAATGACTATGCCCCAGAAAAATCAGAAGAAAAGTGTTACAGAAAGAAGTCCAACAAAATGTAAATAGATATTTGTATCATTGGAAATCAAAGACACCGGTATCCAAACATTGAGCTCATGTTTTTTATCTTCCAGATATAATTACAAGTATTTTCAGATAATACCCATTGTTAACAAATTGTTCAAGTCTGAAAGTTTTTCTCTCTGTCTTGGCTTAGGATCTTTCTAGGGTGTAATTTCACAAGATTCCTCAAAACTCTCTGACAGCCTTAAGCTCTGAACTTGCAATTATGGCTTTAGGATCTTATAAATATAAAAATGTGCACCAAGGTTCATATTATTACAAAGACTCATGAAAATACTGTTAGTGCACAAGGTAAACTATTCTACCAGAAAATAATATTAGAGGATTTTTATACACATGAAAATATACTGATCCTTTTTGAATATATAAGTGTATTTATACTTACATGTGCGGGAATTATGTACATGTGAAATTATAGGCATGTATGTGTATAAATCAGTGCATACGGAAAGAAAAAGGGAGACATATCAGAGTAAAATAGGAAATGTTAACTTTTTGTATCAATCAGTAGAGAATTATGGGTCATTTTTATTTTTCCTTTCCTTATTTTTCTTAAAATGTTCTTCTAGAAACACATTACTTCTATTTTTTAACAACAAAATAACCTGATGCTTCTGTTTAGCATGTTAGTCTGCCTCTGCCTCCCTCTCTTCTCTCCCCCGCATCCACTTACCCACACGTGTGTTACCTTGTGTGCAGAACTGTCTACCTCTCCTTCAGATGATTCAGTGAGGTTCCAGAGAGTTTTAAGAGTGTACATTAACACTAATAAGCAAAACCAATACACAAACACAAACACAAACACAAACACAACACAATTTTGAAGCCTGATGTTCCTGTTGAGAGTCTCAGGTGGGCACGGCTCCCTGTGCTCAGTGCTGGGTCTCAGGCTGTTTGGGTTTTGTGTAAATTCACATGCCAGCAGGCTCCTGGCACATTCTGGGAATTGAGAAACTGCTCCTGGGTTCTTATCTGCCCTCTCCTCTTCAGGGCTGTGACTTTCAGCCCAGTGCTACCTCTGAGTGCCATCTCGGGTGACGGTCTACAGACCTGTGGGAGACTCAAGGCTCCCCTCAAGAGGCTGGTCTGGCTGACATGTGGGACAGAGCCCAGCCTCAGCTCTGCACATCGGCTTGACATCTGCAGGAGCGGCACATCAACAGCCATTGCACAAAGCCACAGGAATTCAAGTTTATTCTCTTACTGAAGTCAAGCATTGCCAGCCCACAAGTGCAGAATCCTATGACCCACTCTTGCAAATCTTAATTGGATGGCAAACTGGTCACACTTTCCACTCACCATCAACCTCCTGCCCTAGCTAACTTCCAGTGGCAGAACTTTCATCTCAACACCAAATCTCTATAGTTTAGCTCAGCACATTCACAAAACACCAATGAGGCTGGTGTCTCAGTGCAACGCTGACCTGCTTGAATCTCCATATCAGGCCCATGCCCTGTCCATCCTCTGGGCCACTCCACCCTCAGCAGTGAAGAGCAGGTCAGGCCCCACCCATCCCAGTTAGGTCCATGGATTGCTCTTTGGCCTCTGTCTGACCCCTGTTTCACATTCTGTATTTGATTCTCCACTCACCTGCATATTGATATCTCACCAACCCTCACTCAATTTCTGGGTGAGGTTGGAATCCCAGGAACTTAGCAGGGTTTAGGCGCCATCACAGGCTGAGGGTTCCAGGAGTTGTGGACACAGGGGTGAGGCCCAGATTGTCTTCATGGTCATCCTCTTTTCACTGAGAGCAAATAGTTCTGGCTTTGCCAGTTTCTTTATGTGAACGACAGCATGTAAAAAAGTTCTCTGATTCTTGATTTTTCTCTTCTCACAGGGCATGTTTTAGTCAGTTTTGCATTTGTGCAATGAAACGCCTGCCACATGTTCAGTTTTGAAGGTTTGGGCATGGGGTGGGGATCAGGTCACTTCTCCACTGAGTCACACATGGCAGACAACAGAGACAGAGGACAACAGGGCCACACTGGCTCCTTTCACATGGGTCATTTGCCAAGGACTCCTTCAGGGGCCATGGTGCTTCCTATCACCCATGAAACCAAGCCTTCAGCACAAGGGACACCTGAGGGACACAAGGCAATACTCAAGCTACTGTAGGATGTGACATGGAATTTGTGTGTAAATGATTGGAAGCAGTGACACTTCTCACATTCAGTCCTGCTGCTAGACACTAGGGTCATAGTTGACTCATCTATAAAATGATAATGACAGCACTCAGTCCTGGAGTTATCAAGTGCCTAGTATTATTTTAAAAATTGAACGAAAGGATTCTAAAGCCTATTTATTCATTTTTATGTAACAATGTGTCTTTTAAGTTTTCTGAAAAGTGAAAATATTGCATTAGTACAGATAGTTTTAGGAATAGGGTGTTAGTAATTAACAGCATGCCCATTATCAAATTCCTGGCCTTACCAGAATAAAAACAAGTTTACCAAAGTGCAAATAAGTTTTTCTCCAAGCTTTGCAAAATAAATCATTTCCATTTTATCACCAAACAGAATTGTTTACACGTGTTTTCAAATTCATTCAACAAACACTGGCTTAATATTTTCCTGCCCCATCTATATAACTAAACCACAAAATATTTTGGATGAACAAAGCTAGAATACAACCCAACTCATCCTTCCAAATCCAGCCTTTGGTCAAAGGAAATGACATAGTCATGATCTCTAAGCAGATGAAGGCTTCATCTGAGAACATTTCAAACCCAGGCTTCCTGTCTTCTGAGGCTCTGTATTTTGACTGACACACTGGACTGGTCTGGTGCTATACCACAGTGGCAGTTTTACCCACATTTATCCTCAAATCTCAGCATCCAATTCACTGTGGGGTTATTTTCAAAACTAGGTCTTTTTAAGCTTCACTCATGTGATTTGGGAAGTATGGGGTGGGAACCAGGCATATGTATGGGGAAAAATCCATTGGTGAGTGTGGTGGCTGCTCTCAGTCAGTAATTCCTGACTTGAATCATTCAGAAGATTATTTTAATGTGTGTTTGCTACTGTTCAAAAGGAAGCAGC